TAGTAATAAGGGAAATGAATATGGTGAGGTTCTGTACTATCGTTCTGACGTTCAATCACCTCTATTCCCAATCTATTCCCTACATTTATTCGCAGTGCGCTCGAACCAAAGGTCTGATGGAGACTGGGACCATGGTTGCAAAAATAGGTCAAGGGTTACGAGTCACCTCAACTTGACTCGAACAAAAGCATGGTTTTCTCTGACATTGCCAGACGGGGACACGAACCGTCGTTGCGTGTCGTCTAACTGCGCGCCCAACAATACATATGTCTTCGGGTAGATTTTCCAATGTTATGCACCACTGACTCGAAGCTACGGTCCATCTCTTACTGAGGTGTCTTTTCCGTTCTGCTGATAGGATCATCTTTGCTTGGGTAACAGTATTCATGATGAGCTGCGGGCTGAGTAGCCCGCCTTGAATGCAAGAAAAAAAATACTCGAGTCAATTTTACTCTCTTTCGACGCTGACCCGGGATCCGCGCGACGCGTGTTTGACAGATTAGCGCTTTATTCAAAGTTACGCGACCCGTTCCCAACGCGGTCCTCTGACTTGGCTCGTCCTATTTTAAGTGCGCTCACAGTTCACTTGTTTTTTTGTTTTTAAGGAGAGTTTCATTCGAGTTGAAAGATCATTCCTCGTCAGGTTTCCAACTTACGAAGAACGCACTCTCCTACTCCCTGCTGCTTCACTCCTGCTTTTCAAGATGTTTGCTCGAGTATCCCTTGTCGCGTTGTCACTCGCTGCGTACTCCACTGCGATTTGCACGAGAACGTACACTGTGAAGTCCGGAGACGGTTGTGATGGTATTGCGGCCGCCAATGGTGTCTCTCAATACCAGGTATCACTTTTCTTCCTTCCCCATTCCTGATCCTCAAGATCCTCACCACTCGTTTTTATCATCATTTTAGCTTCAGAGACTCAATGGCCAGAACATCTGCCTCCTCCTCACCCCCGGGCAGAGTATCTGCCTGGCTGATTCGACCTATGACTGTCAACCTGTTTATACGGTCGTCTCAGGTGATACGTACGTTTCCTTATTTCCCTGAGCTTGAGAAGGGCAACTGAATTAGTATCGACTCTTTCTCCAGCTGCTTCGGAATCGCTCAAAGCCATGGAATAACCTTGTCCAAATTCCTCTCCGACAATGCTCAACTTGATCCCAACAGCTGCCCTATCTACCCTGGATTGAACGTTTGCGTCGATGGTGATAGCACCAACCCCGGAGGTAAGTCGCCAGAAAATGAACCATGATCCCTGCTAACTTTCTGATGTTTTGGATTGCAACAACTAGGTGACTGTACCAAGACGACAGAGATTCAACCCGATGAGACTTGTGATTCCATTGCTGCCCGTAGCGGAATATCAACCTATATCATTCAACAACTCAATCCCGGAAACACATGTGCTGGTCTCCTTGCCTTTACCCAGATCTGCGTTGATTCGCCTGCGAATAACTGTGCCAAGATTTATACGGTTACGGGTAACGAGAATGGGTGTACTCCTATTGCGACTGCACAAGGTATCACGTTTGCGGAGTTGAGGCAGTTGAATCCTAATATTGATGCGGTCTGCGGTAATATCTATCCTGGAGAGGTGCTTTGTGTCCAATCCAAGTAGGGAATGTGAGGGAAGTGTCTTTTGTTCAAGTACGCGTACGACTGGAAATGATTTCTGTTTTACGGTTTTCTTTTTTTTTCATGGGTCATGAATTTATTTTGTGGCAATAGGTTACATTACGAATTTTTTTGAGAGCTGAGTTGCTGAGAACGCGTCGCGTGCGTGTGATGTCCGAAACCAGTAAAACGGCGACCCGGGGTGGGATAATCCCAGTTACCGGGGAAATTCCCACGTGCTGACCAATACCAGGAGATGGATCCACTTGATAATCCTCGGTATCCACAGGCTTCTGACCCAGCTCAAGAGGATTCCGTTAATATTAATGATAGCCTTGGACCCGGTGACCTCAAACCTCGGTAAACCTCCGAGCTCTCAGAACCAGTACAACGTAGGGTGTTGGCTCAGATTTACTGAAGGGAGGGGAATTGTGTACATAATATGTATTACAATTGAAAATTGATCGTCCAATCAGATTGCAAAGAGGTGTTGGGAGCCAAGCCCACACTTCTCGCAATCTGATTGGCCCGTAAATTTCAAACATGAATACAGATTACGAGCCATGTACTCCCTACTGATAACTTTCCCTAGTACTACGCTAGGCTGGCTGAGCTCTGGGAGCCTGGGTGAACCTATAAAAATGTACAACTCCCCCTCATAGCTATTCATCACTCACCACCCACTGCCGCGTCGAAAATGTCAACAACTTGGGAATCCAAACTCGATACACCCACCTTCAAGGGGACCCTTTCTATCAATACCGGACTTTTCATTGACGGAAAATGGGTCGATCCTGTCGAAGGCGGAAAGATTGAGTGCGTCCATTCTTACTTTTTCTTTTTAAAAAAGCTGCTCATTCATTTTACGATCGTAGTGTCGTGAATCCTGGTAGGCGTTATCTTTAAGCGATGAGCTCAATAACGACCGCTTAAACACGCTTGTAGCGACCGGAAAGGTCATCACGTCTGTCGCGGGAGGAACTGACAAGGATGTCGATAAAGCTGTTGAAGCTGCGAAAAAGGTGAAATTTCTCAACAAATTCAACACATGATATTCCCCATTCAACTTTTTGGCGAATCTTTTTTTTTTTTTTTTCAGGCCTTCAAAACGAAATGGGGATACAAAGTACCCGGGAGTGAGCGAGGTCGATTGTTGGGCAAACTTGCGGACCTCATGGAAGCGAATTTAAACGAGTTTGCGGCACTTGAAAGTCTCAATGTCGGTGCGTTGCGTTGGGAGCTCTTGAATTTCAGCGGATAAGTATTCAAACTTTGTATAGGCAAACCGTTTACAGTCTCGAAGATGTTCGACGTGAAGGGTTCCATCGCTGTTTTCCGCTATTACGCTGGTTGGGCCGATAAAATACATGGAAAAACGATCGAGGTCAGCCTTTTGGGTCCTTTACTTAAAGTCTCCCTACAACTCTCAACTTCACGCGTATAGACCAACGAGAACAAATTCGCATATACTAGACATGAACCGTATGGTGTTGTCGTACGTTTCTTAGATTTAACCTTCTCAAGATGATATGATATGACCTGACGATACCCGTCTAGGGCCAAATCGTTCCATGGAACTTCCCACTGGTGAGTACGATCGAGTACGTGTGTTACCGTACGTACAATTAAATGATTCGATAGGCCATGTTGTCCCACAAGATAGCGCCTGCAGTCGCAACAGGCAACTGCTGTATCTTGAAGGTGCGCTTTGGGATCCGACCTCGGGTGTCAACAACAACGTCGGTAGTTCTCAGCCGCAATGTTTTTTAGCCTTCGGAAATCACCCCATTGACGGCTCTCAAGTTCGCCGGACTAGTCAATGAAGCCGGATTCCCACCTGGTGTGATCAACATTGTGAACGGATACGGTGTGTTTTGGATCCAGTCTTCTCATCATCGTGTGTCGTCCGACACTTTTTTGTTTTTCACTCACAGGAAACACCGTCGGATCAGCTCTTGCTAGCCATCCTGAAATCAGGAAGATAGCGTTCACGGGAAGTACGCTAGTAGGGAGGAAGATTCAGGAAGCTTCTGCAAAATCCAACTTGAAGGTCGTGAGTTTGGAACTTGGAGGAAAGGTGTGGGCTCTTCGTTTTAGCCCTTCGGGCTCTATCTACCTTGCGTGTTCACTCCCTTTCCCCCCCCCCTTCGGATCAACTAGTCACCCAACATCATCTTCGACGACGCCGACTTTGAGCAAGCAGTGAAATGGGCGGCTGTTGGTATTTAGTGATGAGTGTCTTGCTATGGTCGTCGGTTCCCTTATGCACTATGGTTCATCGATTCAAGCACGAACATGGGTCAAGTCTGTACAGCCGGATCCAGAATCTTCGTTCAAGAAGGTATCTATGACAAGTTCCTTGGAGCCTTTACCCAAGCTAGTAAAGGATTACAATCCGCAACTGGAGATCCGTTTGCCGCTACAACTCAACATGGACCTCAAGTGTCTCAGGTTCAGTTCGATGTAGGTCCTTTATTCATTGTTTAGTTGTTTTTTTTTTTGACTGACCATACGGATCGCGCGAGATGCAGCGGATCATGGGTTTCCTCGACTCTGCCCGTAAAGACGGTGCTACGATCCACGTCGGAGGAGAGAGACATGGAAACGAAGGATACTTCATTCAACCTACTATCATTACCGACTGTAAACCCGACATGAAGATTGTCAGGGAAGAAGTGTTCGGTCCTGTTGCGGCGGTTATCAGGTTCAAGACGGAAGAAGGTGCAGTTTGGATTTCCCTCTTTTTTTTTCGCGTTTATTATCGTTTTTTTTGCTCACACCGCGAGACGTCGTTTGTTGTCCTCTTTTGTTTGCTTGTTCCCACAGAGGTGATTGAAATGGCGAACGATACGAGTTATGGACTTGCTGCTGCTGTGTTTACGGAGAATAACAGTCGTGCTGTGCGTGTAGCGCATGCGTTGGAGGCTGGGACGACTTGGGTGCGTTGCTTTTTTCTTTTTTCTTTCCCTGTATCGAGTCCAGGAGTAACATTGTTATTGAATTAAAGGTGAACTGCTATAACTCTACGGAGATACAAGTACCGTTCGGTGGATATAAGCAGTCGGGTATTGGAAGAGAGCTTGGGGAGTATGCTCTTGAGATGTGGGTTGATTTCACTGTTTTTTTTTGTTTTACGGCTTGCTGACGCCCACGTTCTTTCCATCAGGTATACCCAGGTGAAAGCTGTTCATGTTAATATCGGGTTAAAGTTGTGAAGGAAGAACGGTTCTCAAGGTTTGCTTGCGGTGTCGATATAAGCTGTATCAATAAGTTGTGTACATACTGTATGTCCCTTTTCACAATTCAGAGTGAGAATATATGCACGTGGTTATTGCATTTAGGGAATGGTATAGGTTCAGTGTCTGTATTCAAAACATCAAAAATAATGACCACCGCAGGGGTCGAACCTGCAATCTCCTGATTACCCGTACCGATGAAAGAAGAGGTTCGTAGTCAGACGCGATGCCATTTCGCCAGGCGGCCTTATATTAAAGAGAAACTATTTTAGTCATTTGTACTATCATTTTTAGAAAATGGAAATGGAAATCTGACAAGGTGGATCAAACGCAAGAGATTATTAGGAGGGAGAGAACGGATATTGAACAAAAAACTGGTGAATTGTTTATCATCTTCATCGATAGTTTCTGTCCCTGTCTCTGTCTCTGTCACTTCGTCTATAGTCGTAGACATCATCATATTCATCATATGTCCCCCTATCACCTCTTCCATAGTCATAATCTCGACCTCTCTTTCGGTCATATTCCCTGTAACGGTCCCTGGAGCGAGAACGACTGCGGCCCCGTCGATGAGGATATCTTTCACGAGTTTCGTAAGGGCGTAGATCGTATCGGTCGCGCTCATCTAGAAGCGAAAGAGAAAAAAACGTTCAGCCACTTCCATAGTGGATAATGGACCGATCTGGCGAAAAAAAACGAACCGAAAGACTTGCTGGCTTTTGGTGGACCAAAGTATTTCCCTGGTGTTGGCGTACGAGCACGGCTTCTTCTGGCCTATGAAATTCGAGATTGTTTGTTTGGTATGAGAAACGACAAGCTGAAGGGTTTGAAAAAACGTACTCTCTCAACGGTAATTACTTTTCCCATCATTTCAGTAGCGTTCAAAAGCGCGATTGCAGCTTCAGCTTCTTCTGGTGATTCCATGGTGATAAAACCAAAACCGCGAGACACTCGCGTGTGGGGATCGCACACGACTTGGATTTTTTGGACCTGGTGGGTTTTGTTTTTAGCTTCCTGGAATCTGCGAGTTGGGGTGTAGCTCACTCTACCGGCTTTGGAAAATGTTTCTTCGAGCATCCTATCGTCAATACCACGATCAAGTCCCCTTACGTGCAAGTTGTTTCCGATATTTTCTGCTCTGCCGTCATTGCGTCTGGTAATGTAATCAACAGGAAGTTGCTCGAGGGTTCAGATGTTCGTAGATAAAAACGAGATATCTCACCCTCTTTTCCCTCTAGACAGACTCCTTCTCCTCCTAGAAGCCGCGCCAAGCGATACAGCTGTTCCAGACATCTCCGACAAGCTCGAGTGTGCTAAAGGATCCGGGATCGAGATAGCTAGAATCATGGGTGATTGGGAGTCAGGTTCCGTGGAAAGTTAAGAGCTGAAGTGGTGCTGAGAGAAGATAAGGCGAAAATGGCGTTCCTTCCTCCGATAGAATAGTAAAACATGATCATAGGCGGTATTATTGGTGGTCGATAATCGAGAACATACCAGAATCCATTCCTGATTATTTTTTTTTTAGAGCGGATTTGAGGGTAGATGATGGTGGTTTGAACCTGAGACACAGGGGCTTGTGACTGTACTCACGTGTATGTGACCCTCGCGGTCGGTGTACTGCCTCGCTCATTTTGGTAATATGACTCTAATCAGTCGATAAATCCGGCTTTTTGGGCCTAAAGAGCCAAAAAAGGGCATAATGAGGGCCGAAATTTTTCGGTTACCTGCGCTCTGCTCTTACGCTCATCGGAATCGCTCCTCCTTCAGTGCGACTTGGGTACGCCAATTCAAGCAGTTGAGCGACCATCTCAAACGACAGTGCCTGTGAGAAGATTTCCAGTTCTCAAGTTCTCAGGGAGTTCAGTCAATGACAGCCGTCTCGCAGCCGTCCATCGCGGGTATATATTCCACCCTTATAAGGCTGAAAGGAGTCGCTTTTATATGAAGAGGAAGCCCAAGTTCTCACATATAAATACACAGCCCTGGTCGCAGAATTACCCGAGTTAGCTTCGCGTAATAAGAACCTTGAACGTCTCCCGTTCTGTATCACAGAAGAACCAGCCAATCGCGTCTCTGAAGAGCATCCTCTGGTAACGTATACCCTGGGTTCTCGGGGAACTGAAAAGGAAGAGCGACATGACTGACACGATCAAGTTGCTGCACCAAGTTACCCCACCTTTTCTCTAATCTGCTCCGTTTCCCAGATGACCTTACCTTTGAATACTGCCCATTCATGGCCTCTTCCCGTGGTGACTGTAGTCATCTGTATGGCAGGGACGGCACTTTTTGCCCTTCTGAAATACATTCGCCGTGACCTTCACGTTGCAGACATTCCAGGACCAGTTGAAAATGCTTCGTGGTTGTACGGTACGCTACACGTTCTATGGGTTACGCGTATCACCTACCCCAGTCTTTAGGGAACTTCCCCGAGTTGCTTTTATCCCAGCCTTACGGCAAGTGCGAGTTCAGATGGCAAGAGCAATATGGATCCATATGTCGTTTCAAGGGATGTTTTTCCGTTCGTATTCTTGACTTTTCGTTTGTTGTATTAGATGATTGATTTGATATCACTTGAGCAGGAGGATATTCTCTTAATTTCTGACCCAGCCGCTCTCCGGTATATTCTCAACGATGCTACGTTGTTCGATTTCTCTCACAACCGGAAATTCATGGTGACTGCCATTCTTGGGAAGGAAAGTTTCCCGACACTGCGGAATGGTGGTAAGAGCTCGAAAAGACCTACGGAAACCCACTGTGCTGACATATGGTTACGCGACAGGAGAGACCCACCGTCGAATCAAGAACGCTTTTTCTGCGACGTTTACTGCGACTCATCTCCAGCGGTATGTTCCTGTCATGAGGGAGATTGCTCAAAGGGTATTTTTCTTTGTTCTACGCTACTGGCAAGTCTATTGATACCAATGATTCAAAGGCCGCAGATAAACTCATGCAGCAGTACTCGGAGACAAACGAGAAAAATGCTACAGTGGATATTTATCAGATTCTTCAACATCTAACTTCAGATGCTATCGGCGAGGGTAAGTGGTCTACTGACATTTACTATCATATACGCTGACTGCACTGTTCCAAAGTCGGATTCGGTTACAAGTTCAACGCCCTGGAAACCGACGGAAAACATGAAGTTGTTCAAAGCCACCAGCATGTACTGTACGTATGAGCATTCTTTAGAGGCACGGACATTTTCTCATACACTCGGGGACACTAGCATGCTTGGTGGAAAACGTTCCAAGAGCGCGATCTTGTCGGAGGGGGTCATTCCCTATCTTCCTCGCATGATATTGAAGCCCATGCTTCAATTACCACTTGCTTCGCTTAGGACGCTTCACGACTTCCGTGATATCATCGAAACTTGGGCTGCAGGACTGCTTACAGACCACCTTCGAGGAGAAGATAATTCAGATGCTGGGTTGATTGGTTTAGTGGGTACGTGTATTGTCCCTGGGCCTTCTGCGCCGCGCCAGTCTCTCAAATGTCTTCGCAGCGTCTGCGAACAACAATCAGAAACGTGAGCGGCTATCGTTCAGTGAGATCAGTCACCAGGCTGGGACACTTCTAGTTGCAGGACAGGACACTACTGTATGTGGGATCAGCAGCTTTCAACGCCAGTGGTTTCTGATTTGTGGCATCTACGCTAGGCAAATACGTTGGCATGGGCATTTTACGAGCTCGCAAAGAGGCCAGACTGGCAAGATCGGATTAGAAAAGAAATCATGGAAGCACAACAGTCGGATTCAGGTTTTGACAAATTTGAATACCTTAATGCACATATCAAGGTGAGTTGTACCCCAGTTCACTTCTTGCAATTTGACTAATTTGCCATCCCACAAAAGGAAACCCTCCGTTTTCATTCAGCTGCACCTCTCAGCGAGAGAGTGGCTTACGAGGATGCAGTTCTTCCGCTATCCCGGCCGATCACTACCATCTCTGGACGAGTTATCACTGAATTACCGATTCGTAAAGGCCAAACAATTTATATTGGAGTAGCTTCCTTCAACCGGTATGTTCGTTCCGTTTCGGTCTTCGAATTTTTTTTCGAAGTCAAACCTCAAACTTATCGATCTTTCATAGGGATTCTCATATCTGGGGCCCAGATGCCAACGTGTTTGAGCCACTACGTTGGCTTGACGGTCGGTATCTTTCGGCCAACCTTCCAGGGATCGGGCCGTATTCCAATCTGTGAGTGTTTAAGTATCTTTGGATACGTCCGCTAACTTTGCGTCTCGAAGAGCTTCGTTCGTTGGAGGGTCTCGTACATGCCTCGGGTAAGGTATCATTTCTATGTTTTATATTCAGCTTTTATTAATTCGCTCAATTTCATCGCTGAAGTTGGCGGCTTGCGTACGTTCGGCAAGTTTCTTTTGTCTGCTTCCAGTCTGATGAGCACTCTTTTTTTTGTGCAGTATTCTGGAGTTGCAGGTTGTCCTGGCAGAGCTTGTCCCAAAGTTTCGTTTCAGCTTTACTTCAGAGCAAGAGAACGACGTGACTTCGTGTTTCTCTTTCACTCTTGTGCCCCTCAGTCAAAAGAGCGGAAATCCGAGTCTTTCGATGGTCGTACAGCCGGTTCAGACTTCCGACTAAGTGTATATGTATATCCTAAACATAAAACCGAGCGTTATAGTAATTATAACAAGCTACCTCAATGATTGAGTAGGCAATGGCAGGGTGCGGATGGTTTGACGATTCGACGTTGCAAGAGTATCCTCAATGTTCCGGTGAGAAGCCACATGTCAAATGTCTGCATGAGATACTTGATTTTGGACAATGGAAAGCAACTGGTTCAGATTCAACCACGCCAGGTGGGCGGCGGGAACACTGGTTGTTCCATTCGCACCTATCTGGACGTCGTCGATACTCCGAAGTTGGTGATTTTCCGGGATCAGATGCAAGGGGCGGGTTATTGAGTAGGCATCGAACACCCAACGAGTCCATCGAACTCAGAGCTCCGCATCCACTTTGATGTCTGAAGGCAGGAAGACGACCAAAGTTCGCAATCCAAACATTAACAGTGAATGAAACGGACTAGACTTGCTGCTTTTTTCAGTTGGGTGGACGGAAGTACTTTTCCTGGCATTGGTGTACGAGTGTGACCGCTTACGACCTATGAGCTATCAGCACAAACCGGACAGTCGAAGCGTAGCTCAACACGTATTTTCTCCACCGTAAACGCTTTTTCCTCTCAACTTCGGTAGCATTCAAATCGCGTGATTGCGGTCTCCAGCCTCCCTC